CATACTTTCTTTATCAGATGCACTAACTATTTTTCTTGTGCCTTCAGAAACAGGTTCAGTCACTTGTTTAGATTTATAGCTATTTCCATTCTTTTTCCTATTACTGTTATTACCATTGACACCTGCATTTTGCTGATATCCATAAAAATTATTATCTTTATCATTCACTGATGAATACTGGAAGTATGGCATATTTTGTGAAGGCATTGAATTAAATGGATAATATTGAACTTGATAAGGATATTGAACATATGGAGGCACCATAGGAGATTCTGCATTGGAGTGACCAGCACCCATTGATGCATACATTAGTGGTTGCATGAACCTGTTTTGACCATCAATGGGAATTGAACCAGGGTACATCATTGGGAAAGGTCCTGAGCCTGAATGCATTTGAGGTGTTGGATATCCCATTTGAGGCATATTATAAGAATTGAAAGGCATAGGTGAATTATTGTTCAAATTGTTATACCCATATTTGTTATGTGATTTATTATAACCTTTATAATGATTATTTTGACCTCTAGAGGAATAATTATTGGAATTTGATCTTTTATTATATTTAGAACTTTTATTATGTTGTTCGAACTGGTATCTTGAAGTTTCGAATTGATGAGGTTGTGGAGAATCACCTGAACTTCCATAGGAAGAACTTGAATGTCTTTCAATTTCATCTCTATTTGTTCTATCAGGAGTTGAAGGGACATTGGATTCATTTCCCAGATCTGATTCATTATCATTATCTTCACTTTCATTAGCATCTTCATCTTCATCTTCATCTTCGTCATCAGTCTTATCAACTTCGAATATTTTCTTCTTGCGTAATTCGTATTCATTTTCTCTTTCAGTTCTATCTTGTTCTAGATTTATATTACTATTATTATTACTATTATCATCTTGATCAATTTGATTATATGATTCTTTAACAGAGTTATTATTTTCAAATTCCTGATCCACACTATTATCAGTACTATTGATGGAAGATGTTGATTGATCCTTCTTCAATAGTTTAAACTTTTTATTTGTATTATTATTTGCATTATTCATATTATGATTACTAATTTGATTTGGTGATTCAGGATAAAAATGTTGATGTGGTGGTATTGACATCTGTATTATAGGCGGATGAGGTCCAGCTAGATAAGGTTGTATATGTTGTAATAGAGGTTTATTTGTAATTTTTTTAAACCCTTCCCCTTTAAAGATGATCAAGCATTTATCTTGAGATCTTGCCAAAGTATGTTGTAGATTATGATATTCTGCTATTTGATGAGCTAGTAATCTATAATATGAATTCATTGGTTTCAATTCATAAGATAAGGCATTTGAATCTATAAAACCTAATATCGATACTTCTAAATCTATAACGAATTGGCGATCATAGGGTCGTTGGAAAAGTGCCGTTAACATGGCAGGGGTTAAATTAATATTTTGATCAACCTGCTCATTAGGAATTGGAGTTGGATTGTTATTGGTTTCATTATTATTAGTCATCTTAAAATCAAAAAAATAAAATTATTCTTCAATATAATACTATCAATGAATCTTCCTTAATAACTCGAATATTCTCTTGGATATCTATTGCAATCACTTTATAATTCCTTAGACATATATGAATATATATGTGAAGTATATATAGACGACGATGACAATTGATATACTTTACTCAACACCAAAACAATGCTTACAGCCAATGCCAAAGTTATAACGAATGAGTTATGTAAAAGTATATTAAGCCAAAAACTCACCAAGGAGAGATATGATATCTAAACGCAGCACTTCAAAAGAATGAGAATGGAATATCAAATTAAAGAACCTAAATAGGAATAAGCTGATATAATGATTCAAACAAATGAAGGGGACGGGGGGAGGAGAAGGAAGAGAGAGAGAGGGGGGGAAGAGGGATGTAAAGTTCAACACAACAAGTATATAATAAACTAAAATCTAGGAAAAGGAAGAACCTGAACCAAAACTAAGTATAGTATAACTATTAATCAATCAATCAATCAATCGATCGATCACTTTAGAAGAATACACAAATTGGTGATAAAATCCAAAATGAGTACAGAACAAATAGAGAGACGGATCTAGATTAAACACAATAAGCACACTTGGACTTAGATACACACAAACAGAGAGATACAGAACCGAAAACTTGTGAAAAACCCAAGTTAAAACAAAGCTATGTTAAAAGTAAAAGATTGAATAGAAAAATCTAAATCTTGTCACAACAACACTTGAAATCCAGTTCGATTCAGTTCAATTGGAAATGGAAATCTAAATTCAAAGCTAAGTTTAAGAATGAACGTATATATATGAAGACAACTAAATCAAGAGGGAATATATGTAAAGCTACAGATTAGAAACTATCAGCTATAAGCTGTAAACTAGGAGACCAAACAGTTCAACAATAACAACAGATTGCATTACATGACATTCTTGAGTTGTAAAGTGATCTAGTTTCGAAAAACGGTAGAGATGGAAGATACACAAGTGAGAGTATAAGGATATTATGGAAGATGGATATAGCTTAGAATATGACGGTTGTGTTGTTTAGTCTTGAATTTGTCTCGTTTTACCTCACATTGCCTTACCTTACCTTGCCTTGCTTGAGGTTACGATACGGTAAGATACGATATGATATGGACACACTGACTGACTGACTGCTGATGATATCTTAAAGGGTAATCCAACAGAGTTGGTTACTTAACAACTACAACTTAAAATTGAAAGTAACTCTAAGAATCACGAGGAACTGTCAGACAAGAAGGGTAACAACTTGAGTTGTCTCTTCTTTATATAAGAGTTATATGTGTCTGTGTGTCTGTGTGTCTGTGTGTCTGTATTCCTGTATTTTTGTATGTCCATGTGTCTGTGTATCCATGTGTCTATGCTTTTACCATTTTAAAAGGACATGTTGTGAATAGATCTGTCTCTCTTGACTATGCATTGATCAGTTGTTATTTATTGTTTCTAATTTCAGCATCAATGCGTTTCTTGTATTACGTTGTTCTACGTTTGGGTGGTCTCATTGTAGTTATGTCATGCTTATTTAATTAAAAATTTCGAGGGAAAATATTTAACATCATGTGACTATCACGTGTCTACCATTTTTGTCAATGTCACAATCATCATTGTGTACGTGTGCATGTGCTTTCCTTAAATGATAATTAATAATTTGAATTTCTATATATATATATATATCTATATACGCACATAGATATAGAGAATACATGGCACTTAAATATCACCAAACTTAATTTAATAATTGACCATCGAACGGGGTATTCATAACTGTTATCAGGCTTTTTTACACCATACCTTCATCCTCGAGAGATATCCACTGATTCTCCTGTCCAATACGTAACTTTCTAGTTTCCGAATAGGCTTAAATTGTGATAGTTATATTTTAATAATACATTTACTAATTTATATATATCCTATTTCTCTACCCTTCTCCATTTGTCATCAGATAGATTCAATAGATAAATATTATACAAGAGAATAGAATAGATTTATCAATTAACAAATGTCCAGTATCGAAGATATTTTAAAAGTATCACCAATTCAAAATAACCCTAATAATTATACTTTTATTAATTTGGATGGGTTCACTGGTGATCATTTCCAAATTAATAATATCGATGAAATCTTACTTTATCAATTGACTGAAAATGAATTAATTGAAAATCACTTAGATTACTTGAATGATTGTTACAAATCTTCCCAACAACAGAAGAGACTAAATAAAAATAATAATCCAATATTAGAGATTTTAAACGAAATAGACAGATTAATTATTGGTTATGGTTTGGTCTCTTTACAAGTCGAAGGATTCTGTATTAACGATAATTACAATTCTTACATAAAATTATTGTTATCATCAAAATTTGATAATTTTACAGATTTCTTATTCCAAATTATTCAAAGATCAACTATCGAAAACTCGTCATTAGACCTTTTGAACATCTTCTTCCCATCACTTTTGAATTATGTCACCAATGAATTACAATATTTTGATCTAAACGATGCAACTGTTTATAACAATACCCTAAGCATCTTCGAAATATTCGTCAATTTTAAACCAATTGCTGCTGTGTTCACCAAAATCGATAAATTCTTCGCAGATTTTAGTTGTAAATCGAACCAATTCGAGAAGTTAACCATCTTAGGTCCAATTCTAGCATTATCTCCATTAAATCCAAATGTCTCAATAAGAAATTATGGGGATTATTTAGAGCGTTCACAACAACAAACTAATATGATTCATGAATCATTGCAAAGTGAGCATAAAGTCATATTAGAAAGATTATTCTTCATAATAGATAAAATTATTCGTGGATCCGTAGAGTCTCGTAATGATATTATGGCATATTTTGGTCAAATTGTAAACAAAAATCATTTACGTAGAGGTGACCATTCAAATCCAGCTAAATTGGCTTCGAACGCATTTATGTCAAATATTACTTTAATTTTAGTCAGATTCTCCCAACCTTTCCTGGATGTCTCCTATAAAAAAATAGATAAAATTGATGTTAATTATTTCAATAATTTAAGTCTATTTATTGATTTATCAGGTGAAACAAGAGTAAATTCGGATTTCAAAGAAGCTGATAGCTTTTATGACGATAACAAAAAAGATGAAAACAGTAAACCAAATTTCATATCAGATTGTTTTTTCATGACATTAACTTATTTGCATTATGGTATCGGCGGTACCCTATTATACGACGAGAAGATCACTCCACAGATTAAAAAGATGAAACAAGAAATTGAAAGAGTTAAAAAATTATCACAATCCCAACCAATGTTTGCATCTTTTGCTCAAATGCAATTGAAACAGATGGAAAAAAGTTTAATGATTTCACAAAGTATCAAAAGTTCATTACAAGGATTTTTCTCAAATAAGAATATCCAGTTAGAAGTATTCGATTTCATTTGTGGTGCTTCAACCTTCTTTATTAGAGTAATTGATCCTTCTCATGAATTCCCATTTAAACCAATTACTTTACCATTGATTCCTGATCAAGTGGGTGTCGAAAATGTAGATAATGCTGAATATTTAAGAGAACATGCACCTATTCCATTTAAATATTACCCAGAATTTGTTGTAGAAGGTCCAATAAACTATTCACTCTATATTTCTCAATACACATCCTCACCAATTTTCAGAAACTCCAGACTACAATCATTTGTAGAATTTGGTACTATGGTTTTGCGTTGCCCCAAAATTAGGTTCAAAACCCACATTTGAAAGGTAAATTGGTACAACTATTTAGTGTCGGTGCCATGTCATTGACTGATAATTCACCAGGGTTTATGATGGAAATTTTTGAGCATAATGAATTAGTTTCAAAGAATTTGTTATACGCTTTGCTTGACTTTTATGTCATCGTTGAAAAGACTGGTTCATCATCACAATTTTATGATAAATTTAACAGCAGATATAGTATCTCTATAATCTTGGAGGAATTATACCACAGAGTTCCACTATACAAAAAGCAATTGATTTGGCAATCCAAGAACAATGCTGACTTCTTTGTCAGGTTTGTTGCACGTATGTTAAATGACTTGACATTCTTGTTAGATGAAGGTTTAACAAACTTGGCAGAGGTGCACAATATTCAATTGGAGATTGACAACAGAGCAAAAGGCATACCTAATGCAAGAGAGGAAGACGATACAGAGTTACAAAATAAATTAGCTTCTGCAGAGAGACAAGCAAAATCATCTTGTGGTTTGGCTGCTAAATCTATGATGTTGTTCGAAATTTATACAGAGGACATCCCTAATGCATTTGTTACTCCTGAAATTGTTGATAGATTGGCAAGTATGCTTGATCACAATTTAGAATCCTTAGTTGGCCCCAAATGTGGTGATTTAAAAGTCAAAGACCCACAAAAATACTCATTTGATCCGAAATCTCTTCTAAAAGCTCTATGTACAGTTTATATTCATTTATCAGGGGAGGAAGCATTTGTATCCGCTGTAGCTAGAGATGGTAGATCATTTAACAAGGAGTTCTTTGAACGTGCTGTTCATATTTTAGGAAGGAAGACAGGGTTGGTGACAGATACATTTTGTGATAAATTATTAGAATTTGCGAATAACGCAGAGGCTCGTAAAATTGAGGAAGAAGAGGAAGAACAAGAATATGGTGATGCACCTGATGAATTTTTGGATCCATTAATGTATACAATTATGAAAGATCCAGTCATTTTACCAACTTCAAAGGTTACTATTGATCGTAGCACAATCAAAGCACATTTATTAAGTGACTCTACTGATCCGTTTAATAGAATGCCGCTAAAGCTTGAACAAGTTATCCCAGATGAAGACTTGAAAAATAGAATTACAGAATTCAAGAATAAAAAAAAGGCAGAAAAAAACTCTAGGTAAGATTTAGCCTCTCTAGTGGGCTTTATATATAGTGGTATTATTTATATATAGTTAGTAATATTCTAGTCATTTTAAGAAGATAAAAAAGAGATATGAGTATGATATCTAATGATTAATAGATAATATTAAATGAGATTTTTAAAACTTGAGACTATACAATGTAAACAGATTAGATATAAAATGATAATATATAATTAATTAATCTAATTACCGATTTAAGCCTTGATAGCGTACTTTCTTTGTGGGAAAGCAATTTGCTTCTTTCTTTGCTTTTCAGTGATTCTGGTAGCTTCGAATTTGGTCATAGCTCTTCTCAAAGATCTGGTCTTCTTAGCTCTCAAATCCTTTGGTTGGTATTTCTTACCTTGGTATAATTGTCTGACAGCTTCTCTTTGTTGATGGTTGATGACAGTTAAGACACGGGCAATGTCCTTTCTGACGGTCTTGATCTTTGGCAAAGATGGTCTGGACAATTTTTGGACCTTCAATTCAGCCAATTCTTTTTTCAAGTCGACTAATTGAGAGGTCAATTGTTCCTTGGACTTGGTTCTTAGTTCGTAAGCTTTGACACCGGCCTATTAATAAAATATAACATAGATAGAAATAAATAATGTTAGTAAAACATGAAACATAAAATGGAGCCAGAACTTGATGTATATTTCATACATCTTAGATTCATAAATATTGTAAATTTAAGGTTACTAATATATGCAAAATATGGTTCCTTTACTGTTCACTTGATTTAGGAGTTCCGAATGTTATCATTATTCCTCATCTCATTAAAAAATTTTCATTTTCGATTTTAAGTCTTAACATTGATAATGGATATTGATGAATCTTACAAAATGTTGGTTTCATTGTAGGTTATTAAAGACAGACTTTAAGTAGAACATTTCTTTCCAATACGTTATCCATCTAATAAATAAATATGCTTTCTCCTGTTCTCATTTTTGAAATAACTTATCACCACATATAGATGCATTTATCGTTAATCTTAACGTTTTAATCTTATTGTTAACATACCATTTTGAATACTCTTGTCTTTCTGTGTCTATTTGAAATAACAATATTTTAAAAAACTTATAAAATTTATAAACCAAGCTATTATATTAATGGTATGTAAATTATATCACCAAGATGTATTAATTATTTAGGTAGTAATGCTTGCAAAACACATATTACAAAGTACCAATTCATCGCAATTGTGTTGTTGATGCTGATGGGTTGGGTTTCGACACAAGGAAGTTGGAAAATTAATTGGATATAGATGAGAAGAGAAGTGAAGAGACTAGAAGAGACAGTTGAATAATAACTAACTAACCAACTAACTATGGATTGATAGTAGATGAGCTTACTATTCCGTACAATAGATAGGCATAACCGTTTGAATTATTGCAAGTTCACCATTTTGAAACTTTTTCATGAAATTTCAATAGAAAAGTTGCGTCTATCACGATACACGACAAAATGGAGGATGGTTCAGTTATTGACTTTTTCTTTTGAATCTCCTTTATTTTCTCAGAAAAAAGACGTGAATTTATTGCATCTGAGCTTTGAGATGAAAATGAAGTTTTTGTCGGTGAATGTTGTCTTTCATGGGACGTAATCAACACACCATATTTATGCGGTGTATAGATGGAAGGTCTTATTCATTTTTATATGCGATGTACAGATTGTGTAGTCACTTTTATAACTTCAGCTTATATGATTTTTTTAATCTTTGGTTTGAATCATAGTAGAAGATCATTAATAGAAAATTACTGCTAATTTTAGTAATTGTAGTTTCTTTAATTACAATTATTGCTTTGAAGACATTATTAAAGATAAATACAATACCTAAGGAATCATTTCAAATCAAAGAGAACCCATCCATTTAAAATTAAATAATGGTATTAATAGATAGTTTGTTGTTCTAGAAGATTAAGGCGGGTGTCACGGGGGAAAGTCATATCTTGTTTCGTTAGTATTGGCATACTGCTGACTACGATATCGTCCTGAGTTTATACATTTAAGGTATATTTTTTACAATATACATTTTATAATTATACTATTATTTATTTTTCATTTAAACATTTTAAATCTTTTTAATGTTGTGATAGTTAACTAACAGAGATAACAAACTCATCTAAAGATAATATATATATAAGATAACCGGCTTATTATTCCAATCTAATAATTAAATTAATTAAATTAAATTAAATTCTGTTTTTATTTTTTTTTAATATTTAATCTAAGATTGGTTCTTCAAATTGTTACTCAACCACTCTAAACCTTCGTATAAACCTTCACCAGAAGTAGCACAAGTAGATTGGATGAACCATGGTCTGTTTCTGATAGAATGTAAACCTAACTTTTCAGTAATTTCGGCAGCAGACATAGCTTCTGGCAAATCTTGCTTGTTAGCAAAAACTAACCAAACAGCGTTTCTCAATTCATCTTCATTCAACATTCTTTGCATAACTTCTCTGGCTTCACCAATACGAGATCTATCGTTGGAATCAACAACGAAGATAACACCTTCGGTGTTTCTGTAATAATGTCTCCACAAAGATCTGATTCTGTCTTGTCCACCAACATCCCAAACGGTAAATGAAATGTTTTTGTATTGAACAGTTTCAACATTGAAACCAATGGTTGGGATAGTAGTAATAACTTCACCTAATTTCAACTTGTATAAAACGGTGGTCTTACCAGCACCATCTAGACCAACCATTAAGATTCTCATCTCTTTGTTACCAAAGAGGTTACTGAACAATTTTGATGCAAAAATACCCATTGTAAAATTGTATGTATAGTTCTATATTTTTCCTTGGAGACTATCTAAATCACAAAATTTATAACAGTCAAAACAGATATATTGGTTTATATTGTTAGTAAAATGTCAAATATAAAAGAACAAAGACAACAAATAATCTAATAGTATCAAAAATTTATTTCACTTTTTATTTTATTCTTTCTTGGATCTATCCTTAACCAACAAATAATTGTTAAGGTGAATAAGAGTTATACAACAGGTGTTTTAACAATTAGTATGGTAATAACAAAATTTTCTTTTTACTTTTTTTTCTTCAGTTTCCAATTTTTCCACTATTAAATTTTTCTTCGTGAATTCAGAGAAAAAGCTGTAGAGAAAAAAAGAGAACTAAAAAGAACTAAAAAAAAAATGATATTGTGAAGTTCAGTATATTAAAATTGATCAGTACGCCAAGTGTATAATCTGGAAACAGTTCTATTCTCACACGAGATCAAATCAACAGTTTTATATTCACCAAACTATTTCTATATTCACCATGATCCAGGCCAATGAAAGAAAATAAAAACATTCTGAAATAAATTATATGATAAAAACGATCGTAAAATCATTCAATTGGAACATACTCTTTTTAACACCAAAGGTCACAAAGGTATTGGCTGAGTTATGAGAGAGAAAGCACAAGATTCAGATAGTATATAACCAATTATGACTAGAAATAAATAAAACGTAGGTTAAAAAAAACAAGAGTAAATATATATATATAACAAATAATAAAAAAGATATATATATAATAAATGCATACATAGTAATAGAAAAAAACTAATAGAAAAAAAAACATTTTACAAAATATATATCAAACGTATATATTTAAATATAAATATTACCTGTTCAAATATGGCACATTAGAGAAAGTTACAACTTATGTGTGTAAAAATTGTATGAGTAAGTAGAAAGAAGTGTGAACAAGAAAACAACAACAACAACAACAACAACAGACAACAGCAACGATAAGAATCAGTCTGGTCCTGTTACACCACTTGAATAAAATGGAAAGTATACCAATACTTGTTCGTCTAAAAAAATGTTGATTTTGTATGTAGTATGAGCTTGTTAGTGTAAGTTTAGTGTAGATATATGTATGTGTGTCTGGTTCTTCTATGCCATTTTGCCAAAAAAGTTGTGATTTATTTTATTTTTGTCGTTTCTTTTTACCACAGGATAAATTCCACGAGTTCGAATAAACAAAAAAAGAAACGGGAGAGATTTCGAAAATGCGAAAACACAAAACAAAAGAAACGAGGTAAAAAATCTACAAAACACAATACATGATCATTCGTGTTAAGTGATTCAATTATGTTGTATTTACTTTTTGTTCAGAAAAGAAAAATAGAAAATAGAAAACAGAAAAGAGCCTAAAAGCCTGAAGGCCCAAATCAAAAATTCAAAATTGATTACAAGAAGATTTCAACACGCGTTTGGATCAATCCCGAACGCTTTCATTTTTATTTTATTTTTCCGACTCTTCTGTTGAATTTTCTAGTCCTTGTCCAGCAAGACCATACAATGACAACTACAACTAGAACTACAACATTGTCAAAGACTAGACAACTGACTCGATCTGAAATCAAAATTAGAAATATATGAACTTAGTAGCAGTTTGTTCTTGAACAATTGGCTGGAGGTGGAATGAAAGTAAAGTAATATCGAGGTATAAATTGTATTATACCGGTCCTCTTCGCTCTTTCGCTCGTTATACAACTATTAATATTATATAATTAGATTTTGCGACGCTAGTTAGATCCGGTGATCTAAGCCAACGCAGAAGATAAGATAAAGAGAGAGAGTGTGTGTGTATGTGCATGCGTATGTGTGTGTGTGTACTGTTGTGGTTCTTCTTACTTTTGATGAAGAAATCATGCCTTTATATGAGGGTCCCGATTGAACCTTTCCGCTAACTTACTGTTGTATATGATGTATATATTAATATTCTTGTGCTTGTTCTTGTTCTTTTATCTTCGATAGTGACTGAACAGGTTTCCTACATGTTGATTCTGTATCTCCTAAAAGGGTTAAAACATAGGTATTCTGGTTAAGATGCACACACATACATTAATCAATACAACAGATAGCCCGTGTTGCTTGCCTTTTCCTAATCAAGAAACGTATCGGCTTTTTTGTCTGTAATTAAATTTTCTCCTTTCCTTTTAACTTTGGGTGGTCATGTGACTATTAATAGTGTAATAGTTTTGGAAAATTTAATTTCGCCTTAACCGTCATATTAATAAAATAATGAATGTTATTTAGAGTTCTCTTCCTTTATTAAGTAGAATATTGTTAATTAACGTCTTATACATAATATTTTTTCTATATAAACTATTTTATTACCTTGAAGGACTCCAATCTTTGGAAACCGTAACAATAAGCTATTCTTTTATTTCGATTTCTTTGCCACCTTCACTTGAAAAGAATTAATTAAAACTAAAATTAGTGTAAATACATATGTCTTGTAAAATGACTCGTCTATCCTACTGAATTGCATGGCTTCAAAGGATAGTCCTTATTATCTAATACTATGGTTACAATGGTTATTCAAAAATGCTTTGATTTGCTGTCGTAGCTCGAGAAAGATTAGGATTAGTAGTTGTGCTCTCGAAACTTCTTGTGTAATCAATTTCTTGTCCAAGGTAATTGGAATAGTCATGCAAATTGTTTATGTGAATGTTATTATAATTATTATTGTTGTTTCTGTTATCATCGTCATCATCGTCATCATCGTCATTACTTTTATTATTATTATTATTATTATTATTATTAATATTATTGTTGTTGTTGTTTTTGTTGTTTTTATTAATGCCATTATTATTAGTAGCAGCAGTTGTATCTCTTCCAGGTTCATTGCTTTCATCACTTTCATCACTAGAATCCGTAGGAATAGAAGGAGGGCCTCTACTGTATGGGTTTAATGCAAACCCATTACCCAAATCTACCGTATTCGTAGCAAACTCATCAAAATCAGTAGTTGATGACATAGTTCCTTGTCTTTCATGACAACTTTGGGCCATCTTTGTAGTACCTTCACTTACTGACATAGCAAATGTTCCATCAAAATCCTTGATATGCTTAATCTTCCTATTTTGAAATTCAGACTCATTTTCTAATATAGAACTTGTCAATACATTTGGTGTGGCATTATTCTCGTAGTAATAGTCTCTCATCTTACCTCCATTGTGTTGATTCCTCTTAGCCAACTTTCTTTCCCTTATCTTCTTATTCCATTTGGGAGATGATATACTGTTTGGGCATTCAGAGAATAATTCGTCAATCTCTTCTAATGTTAGCCCCTTCGTTTCATAAACAGTAAAATAAACTACTACAACACCAACAGCATTCAAAGCTCCCCAGAGAAAGAAAATTCTTGGCCCAATTGTATACGTGTGTGATGTAATATTCACAATATAAGGTGTAATAAATGCACAAATGAAATTTACTAACCAATTTGATGCCGCACAGATAGCAACACATTTTGATCTCACACCCAATGGATATAGTTCCGCAGAAAGGACCCAAACTATAATACCCCAACTAGAAGTAAAGCATACAATGAAAATACAGATGAAAGCAATCATTACTCTATTATTTATTACATGCTCATCAGCAAAACTGACAATAGCGATAATAAAATTCGAGATAGCCATACCAATGCCACCATATAACAATAAATTTCTTCTACCAACACGATCAACTAAAAATAGACCTGGGATGGTAAATGCGACATTTACTGCATAAGTAATTAATGAAATTCTGTAACTATTTTCTATTCCTGTTCTACTAAAAAAATTAACCCCATAGTAGAAAATGAAATTAATGCCTGAAAATTGTTGAAATACCTGTAATAATATACCGGTAAACATTCTTAATGTTTGTTTAGGTCTGGTTTTGCTGGATCTGAAACAATCAAGTAGAGTTGAGGAACCAAATGACATCTCATAGTCGTATGTAGCTTTAATTTCAACTAATTCCTCCAGCAAACCAGAATCATGAACTGGTACACGTCTTAAGAACGATAAAGAACTTGCTGCTTTATCGAGCTTATCTTTCAAGACATAATATCTTGGACTCTCAGGTAAGAAGAACATACCGATACCTAAGAAACAAGCCCAAATATACTGAAGACCTATCGGAATTCTATACGATGCAGCTTTGTCTATTGTGTATGTGGCTTGACTGACTGCACTTGAGACTAGTAGACCCCAAGTAATGGCCCACTGAAATGTTGAAATAATGGCACCTCTTAAATATTTAATGGCAGCTTCACTCTGATATAATGGAACCACTGCCGATATCAATCCAACTGAAAACCCGGATATCACTCTTCCAATGACTAATAAAACAACCCCATTTGAAGAGATTTGAATTGTGTTACCAGTAAGGAAAATAATCAACGTACTTAGAATAATAACTGTCTTTCTACCACATCTATCTGAGATTACAGGAGCAGTTAAAGCCCCAAAGAAAGTCCCCAAAGAAAGGAAAGAAACAATAATAGCCAATTGCTCGGCAGTAAAATTATCATGATTTGACGAAAAGTGTTCTCGCACATATTGCATATCAACAATGCTATTAATTAAACCAGTATCGTAACCATACAAAAATCCACCCACAGCAACGAAAAAACCTACTAAAATTGTAACTCTATTCGATTGTCGTTGGGGCGGATCACCAAACAGTATCGAAGTATTATCATATGAAGAACAATCATCAATTATCCTATGTGTAGTTTCTGCAGGTGTAGGATCCGAATTACTGTTAGAACTATCTTCCATATCTTTATCTTGCAATTTCATCTCTACATTATCTGTTAACTTATCAAAATTATCTCCAAGACGTAACGAATGTTTCGTCTGAACATTGGGATTTAAAGTAGAGTATATATTCTGCTCATCCTTAACAACCTCTATCCCATACTCATCATCTAACTTCCTCTGCCGTATATGTAACATATCATCTCCATGAAATATATCCACTATATTCCTCCTCAATCGTGACCAAAAATGAAGCTCAGCTTCATTAGTTTCCTGATTTTTCATCTAATCAAATATAACGTAGATTCACAGTTCTCTATTAAACATAACCTTATCCCCCACCTTCCTTTAGCAATCTTATAACAGTCTAGATCCAAAAACATAAACAATTTCTTGAAATAAATTCGAAACTACTTTTATATATTTAAGAGAATGCTTGATATCTTGTAATTTTTTCCTTTTATAATCAATCCCATCCAATAATTTTCAGAGGCTCTCTCCTGTAATAATTTGGCCGAACAATGTTTCTATTGGACATGATGAAAAGTGATGATGACAAGACAATAGATGATACAATGAATATGACAAAGGGTGATGTAATTAAGCAATGGTATTGTTGTGACGTACTACAATTGGGTTTATATTCTTTAAGGATGGGTTGGGAAGAGGAGTTGGAGTATAAAATGGATCTATCTTTATTATTTGCAAGGGAAAAGAAAGTATATTTTTGATTGAGATTCCATGAGAAACAGGCACCTCGAACTTTTTATTTAAATAACATCTTGTTTAATTTGTTATTAATGGGATGATTCTGTAATCTTGGTAATTGTTCTGTCTTGTTTTTTTTTAAATTAATCTCATCTCTTGAGTTAGAATTAGAATTAGTTAACGTTTATCTGGGTTGTGGTTGAATTAGGAAAAACTGGGGCTAGACGTTATTTATAAATTTAAGCCAAGAAACTTTCTGCTCCGTAAGGAACAACTAACTGATCAAAAAGTTAATTACAAAAAGATAAAATACTTTTTATGGATCTCTATTATATGTCAGAATTATTAAAACTTGTACATTATATACATATTTATCTTGAAATTATCTAAACTTTTTATGTATTTCCATTTCAAAAATTTAATGAAACATCATATTAAAATTGTCTTATGGTCGCTTAGAAAATAACTCAGTTAGTGCTTGTAGCTTCAACGATACCAATTAATCTCTTGACACCGGTCAACCAGTTACCACCTTCTTGGGCATGGTTTGTGGCAATATCGACATGTGTTTCCATAGCTTCTATATATTTATTTTCCTTCAAATATGAAATCAAGGTGCTTAGTTTATCAATTGTTGGTTGGGTCAATAAATCTTGTTTTTCCAAATGTTCGAACAGGATCTTTAATCTTTTCTTACAATCCTTCAATTGCTTTGCATATTCTTTTGGAATCAATGAAGATACACGTTCAACTTCAGCGTTGAAGTAGTCGACAATGGCTTGTTGTTCGGCTGGGATAGGTTGAGATGTAGCTGGTGGTGCAGATACAGGAGCGCCAGTAGAGGTCTTTGGTGGAGCAGAAACAGCTGAATCAGGAACAGCGGCAGCAACTGGAGCTGAAGGAGAAGATGTTGGAAGCGGTGGTTGAGAGATGAAATCTTGTGATTTACTTTGGATTGAACTCAACAAGTCACCAGCATTTGCAACTGCTGATTCTGCATGACTCTTCTTTCTTGCATTAATAGGTGGAGGACCAACCGGGGTCTTAGCAGCTGGAGGTGGTGGAGCAAAGGCATTACCACCAGATGATGAGTATTGGTTCAATGATAAGTTACCATCTACTTGCTGTAAATTAGTTGGAGGAGCGTATGGGTTGGATGCTGGGGTTGCTGATCCAGAAGAAACATTACTCATAGATGGAGCATATGGATTCAATGGAATCTTAGGAGTACCAATAGATGGGTTTCTTGGAGTTTTACCATGAGCTAATGAGGCACCTGGATGAGCTATGTTAGATGCTGTTCTAGATAATGGAGGAGGTGGTAAGAAACTGCCACCCATTTGAGGTTGTTGGTTTGGTGAAACTGAAGCAGCTGGAGAGACAGCAACTGGTTTAGCTCTTGATGGTTTTTCCTTTGATTTCAATGGAAGATCGTTCCAACCATCATTTGCATCTTTATTTAAATGAGGTGTTTGACCAGACTTAACGTTGGTAATTGGAGGAGGAGGGATACTAGCAGTATCATTTGCTGGAGGATTAGCATTTAATTGAGCAAATACTGGTTGAGTTGGTGGAACAGTTGTAGCATATGGATTAGCTGGAGATTGGAATGCTTGGTATTGTGTTTGACCAGTTGGTCTAGAAGTAGAGGAAGGTCCTCCAATAGCTGGTGCTAATGCTGGAGGTGGAGCATACTTACTACCAGTAACTTGTCCAACGTTACCCCCATGTGCAGCTGTAGCATATGCGTTTGCAGCTGGTGGTATTGTAGCTTGAACTGCTGGCGAAGAGACAACTGGTGAAACTGATTGTGGTAATGGAACACCATAAGATGGTTGGAATGTTTGATTTGAAACAGTCTTATGCAATGGAGTTTGACCACCAAATGATGGGCTAGCATTAAAAGTTTCAGGAACTTGTGAATTCATCAAAGAACCGTATTTACTGGCTCTAGGCTGTTGTTGTTTATTGAAGGTCTTACCAGAAGCAATCACAACACGTTCCTTTTCAGTATTAACTTCTTCATTATCACCGGGTAGAGTTTCTAAGAATTTATAAGCCAATTCAAAACTACCAGAGGCAGAAGTCAAGTTAACAAATTCTAGGAACTTACTTATCAAGTCTTCATTTGTAATCTTTGACCCAGCACCGACAAATCTTGAAAAAACAGTAAATCTTTCAACGAATTCAGTCAAACATTCAGTGTGAGCTTCGTATTGGGAATCCTTGGATTCTTTAATTTTTGCTTCATTAGAACTAAATTCCTTCAACCAAACCTCAGCTACGTTATCTAAGGAGTTTGCAGCTAGGTAGACAGTCAATGCATCTTGTCTATTACCGTTATCCAATAATCTGTTACCTAATTTGACCAAAAGCTCATCCCTTTTAGCCGCGTCATTGCCATAAAATTTGTAAATGGATTTTATAATGTATTTCCATTCACCGATTTCAAAGTTTTGAACCAAATCTTCAACATTATGGTTGGAAATAGAATACAAAAATCTTGACAATGGAGACTTTTTACCATATTGAGCAAAGTAAGAATGCTTAACAGAATCTTTCAATGCTTGGTCATCAGAGTCCAAAGCAATAACAAGTGCTTCCAATAAATAATCTTTTTCTAGAGAAGCTAGCACGGCTTGCTTTGTATTGCCTTTAATCAAATCTTTACATATTTTTTTGTGCATATCATCTGATAGATTGAATTTTCCAGTTGGTTCAAATGAATTTTCTAATTTACCGAAGAAATCTTCACCTTCTAACTGATCCTTTTGCTGTTCATCATCTGCGTTTTCACTTTCATCATCATCGAAGGTAAATGCTTCTTTTAGGAATTCATCTTTACCATCTAGTGACAGTTTTTCCAATAGGTTCCAATCTTCTTCATTAGATTCACTAATTGGTTTTACTAAACGTTGGTTGATAATTGGGTTAAAATCTTTTGATTTCAAAGCTTCATCCAAGATAGTATTTTCTTGGAAATAACCTGGTAAATTTGGTTTTGTAATACTGATACTTTTACCGTCTTTACCGATAGAGACCAATTTACCACCGAAAGCCCAGTTAGCAGCGGCTGATTTATTACCGTACCAGTTTGGAGCTTGCAAACCAAAGACTGTTGGTTTTTCAGTAGTAGTTTCTGAAGAGACGTTATTCCAAAAATCTGTTTCTGATTCATTCTTTTTTGAAGCATCAACTTCCTTGTCTAAGTTATTTACTAAATCTTGCAAAGTTTGTACTTCAATTTTACCATCGAATGAAGCAGTAGCAAAAACATCTGGGAAAGCTGGTGCAAATTTAGTCTTGAAACACCAGTTTCTTCTTGAAGGATATTTAGTTAGAGATTCTCCATTTTCAGGGTTCCATAACATTACAGAATTATCTCTACCACTTGATAATAATAAGTTTTCATCGGTGCTGCACCAATCTAAGGATAAGATACCATTGGAATGACCATCTTTTGATAAGATTTGTAAAGGAGTATGAGAGTTTCTTAAATCCCAGATGAAGATGGAATCACTTTCAGTAGAATCATTATTCAAAGTTGCTGTAGCAATTCTGGTTGAATTCTTTGGATGCCATTCTACAACAGAGAATAAAGATTTAACGTTATTGACTGGGTTTGTATAATTTAAATGGATAACTTCTTTTTTAGCTTTCAAATCGAAAATAGAGACGTTTGAAGTGTTACTCGAGCATGAGAAGACATGCGATAGAGATTTATTCCAAGCTAAAGAAGTGATTTCATTTGTTGGAGTCATTGGCATACCTGGAGTCAAAGGTGTTTTATCCAAGTTATTTAAATCCCAAATTAAAATTTCACCATTTTTATCAGAACCTGAAACTAATAAATTTGATTGTTTTGTATTAAATTTTAAAGTTTTAACAGAACCTTTATGTTTATTTGAATCTGATAAATTTCCTAAAGATTTAATAGTTTGACTTTTATTATCGAAGTTGAATAATTCGATATTACCATTGTCGAGAGCCCCAGCAATGTTAATATTATCGACTGACCAATCCAAGTCATTAAACTTTGAATCGACATTTAATTCGAATAATGGGGTTTTTGTATCTAATTGATTAATGGACCATAATTCTAACTTTGAATCTGAAGAGAAATCAGCATCTATGGTGTTTGCGATAGTACCCGTAACCAGGAAGGGCAATCTATCTTGAGACCAAGCAAAAGTTGCAGTTCTTGAATAATCAATAACTTTCACCATTGTTGATTAGTTAGTTAATTGAATGGTATATATATCTATCTATATATATATATATGTAAATGCTTTGCTACTTCTTTCACCTACCAGAAACAGAGAAGGATTAAAGATAATAAATGAATAAAATATATAGATAGATCAGTTAACCTTATTGAAACGACCTTTAAAACATTCAAGAATAAGATTAAATAAAACTGAACCAAACCAAAAAGAAAACTAAACTAAACTAAACTAAACTAAACTAAACTAAATTAAACTAAACTAAATTAAATTGAATTAAGTTGTTTCGAAACAGTATAATGAAAAACACCAGAACTAATGAGAATACAAATTCCATTTAGATAAAACGGCTCTCCAAGAAAGAATAGAATAGAATAGAATATGAAAAACAAAAAATGTATAAATATTAAAATAAGTGAAATAAAGGTTTTAACTTGACGTTGATGAACATTTGAGAAAGAGACTTCGAAGAGTCGAATGGACAAGTACAAGGTCGAGGGCAAAGAGATATATAGATAAAGATAGGACCAGCTGTATATGGGAGGGATTAGTGTGTTGTAGTAAGAGTAAGGGTAGCAGTTTTCGTAATCGTCATCATAATTGTAATCACCACCGCCATCAGCATCTTAATTGTAGTTGTAGTTGTAGTTGTAGGATAGAATAGAATAGAATGAACAACAACGACGACGATATAAAGGGCAAGTTAAAATTTTCATATTTACGTGTTAGTTATGTTATGGTTTGGTTTGGTTTGGTTTTGGCCTTGTCTCTTCGAAGAACAATCTGGTAGTTTGCATCTAGTTCTTGTGGGTAGTAGAGTAGGTACAAATATCAGTAAATGCTTAGGACGAGGACGAGAAGGAGGCGGGAGCGGGAGGGGGGCAGGAAATAGTTTCTAAATATGGAAATATATTGTTGTCGTTCGTATGCTGTGATATATTTCGTGTTTTGTATACAGTTAGTTAGTAGTACAAAGTGAGAGGGATAAGAAGCTTAATGCTATCTTATTTGTACCTGTTGAAGCTAACTATACAGATTAGATGATTCTTATATCTGGCTATTAGTAGTTCTTCACCAAGTGTGGACAGATTATGTATCTGTGTTTCGACCAATGATTAGTTAGCTCTTGTTTTTGATTTGATATCACCAGTACATACATGTTTCTTGTGAAATATTTTGACTAAGTACGTTAACTCGTATTCCTCCATTCTATTTATATAGTACACAACACAATAGAGAATCAGCTAAACAAAAATTGTATGCACTTAATGCTGACACTGTCACCACATATATTGCGTCGTCATAGTGTCACTCTGACTCTGAAAGTCACGTGCAATCAATGAGAAAATTAAAAAACCATTAGATACTGTTGCCCTGCCTTCCATTTTTCAAAAATGAGAAAATAAAGGTCGACCCACATATACGTAATGGACTCAATACGAGTCCAACAGTCAAAGAAAGGGCAACCGAATGAGATGCATAATGGAGGAAACCAAAGGTTTGTTACAATGAATGAATGTTTAATAAAGCATACTATTCTTCTATCAACATCACAATTACACATATAACATATATATATATGTGATACTTATTGGAACTACAGGTAGTCTATTTTATCATCCATCTGTTCTTATACACAATTGGTACTACAGATCTCTTCGAAACTACCATCGAAAAGAAACATCACCATGTCAGATTACTATAACCAAGCTTTAGAAATATATAAAGAAGAACAACAAGAAGCAGCTGTCGAAGATACTGATGCTTGGGACAAACGTATCGATAAAACTGGCTGCTATGTAGAGAATTTGGCTTTGCAATTATGTCACGCAGATACTAATGACTGGAGAAAGTGTCTAGGTGAAATGAATGCTTTCAAAAATTGTTGGCAATCAAATGGTAATAATGAAAGAACTTCAACAAAAGATGTATAAATAATCCACTTTTCTCCCAACTCTTCCTATTTTTATTCATCACGTGATGTAAACTACCAATATTATTATTATTATTGATGGTCCGCTTTTTTATTATTTCCTTTTCCCTTCCCTACTTCTTTTACACTAACAAACACAAGAATAGTACGGTGTGTGATATATAAATATATATACTCATGCATTAATGAACTGACGAATTAATGAATCACTTATAAATAGATTATGTACCTTACTTTAATGATACAGTCTTTATTATCCGAAGCCAATTTGAACTGACAATGGTAGAGCCCAAATCTAAAATCAAAAAAAATGCAGGTAATAAAAAAAAGGTATCAAAACAAAAGAGGAAACAAGATACAATCAAAAAATTACATGGAATGCTGAAAAACTTGATTAACAACAAGGAAACTGACCAAGACAAAGATAACGAAAAGAATGAATCGAAATCATCTGATGGTATTATTTACATCAAATCAAAGGAAAATGTAGATATTCCTAAATTAACCGATGAAGAAATACTAATGAAACATAAAAGAGCTGATGAAAATATGAAGAGTACTTGGCAAAATATAATTAGTAAGTACGAAAAATTTGAAGGCCCTTCCGATGTCATAGATCTGAACACTGGCGAAATTGTAGAAGATAATGGCCACATTCGTAATTTAAATAATGAAGCCTTTAAAAATTTATCTCCTAATACAACGCCACAGAAGAATACCATCTCAAATGAGTTGATTCAATATTCCTTGGATTCGGATTTGGATTCGCAAGATGAAGAATATGAATTGGAAGAATCGAATCTAGACGAAGAAGAACAAGCTAATGACGACGAGGACCACACTAGATTATACGATGAGTATAAGAAACCAGAAGATGATAAAGACTAAACTAACGATCCCTTAGGTTTTTTAAGGACAAGAAAGATCTATTGATAATCTTCCACCAAATAAAAAGTGCAGAGGATTCCGCCTCGAGTTCACACTGTAGAACCAATTGACATATAGATCGGTAAGTCAATATTCAATGTTGAAATACACATATCTATAGATATATTTGGAACTACGTTAGGGATAAGTTTGTTGGTTTGGCATACTTATAAATATGTGTATGTATGTATGTATGTATGTATGTATGTATGTATGTATGTACTCATCGAGTCGCGATGGCGTCTCCCAGTGATGCGATTACCCGGATCTATAAAATCATTTTCAACGAAGTACCTCTTAACGGTGGCAAAGGAGAAACAGAAAAAAAACATAAAAAATAGATAAATTTAAATAAAATGTTGTGTTTATTGATATATATCCATATATATTTGAATGTTTCATTAATAAATTCACATCTCAAAAGGTCAAGGAACTAAGGAGGAACCGTTATTATACTCTACTCTGGTTGAAGAAGACATTTATATCACTTGGAGCCATATCTTTTTCTTTTCCTGTGATTTCTAATTCCATTTTACCAACGAAAACTTGAACACAAGATTATTGAAGATTTTTTTATTTTCTTTAGTTCAAAAATATAAGTGGTTGCAACAATTATAAAACTTTTAACTTTGGATTTAGACAAGTTGTATCTGTACTCATTGTCTGTTATTCATTCTGAGATTGAAAATTTGAGCGTTTTGACCAAGTGCTAAATTCTTACCGGAATAAAAAGATAAAGGGTTTTTAAACTTTTCGTTTTTGTTGTTAAAGAGAGAGTTTTAGTCTTCGAAAAAACAATAAGATAGCAAAGAAATTAACATTTCTTTAAATTCTATCAGCCCAACACCAAACCTACTCTGGAAAAAGTTTAGTTCCTCGTCATTATTGTCATTGATAATTGTGCTATTTTAATTTTACCTTTTGTTTATTTTTCTTTTTTAGTAGAAATTTACTTGATATTGGAGAGTCATTGTGAATTTATTATTTTTGCTAGAATTCAAATTCAAATTAAAATTAAAATTATTAATACCAATCTTTTCCTTATTAGACTTTTAATTTAATTCAATTTAATTTAATTTCATTATTGGAAATATCATTGTTCTTAAACTAGATTTATTTTCATTACATTTTATTTTTTTTTTCATTTAAAGATTTCCCTTCGGATTTTTTGGTCAGTATATCGATAATAGATTCATTCCAGAAGGTTAATTCTTTCCCCTGTTAATATTTATTCAATTTTAAATTTTAATCATCCAAAAACTAATCGACAGTTTTTGTAATATATATATAAAAGTTCATTTCAAAAAAAGCAAAAAAATTAATATCAGACCTTAATAAGTATAAAAAAATGGTAGGCCAACAATATTCTAGTGCGCCAGTTCGTACCATTAAAGAAGTACAATTTGGGTTGTTTTCTCCAGAAGAAGTCCGTGCTATTAGTGTTGCCAAAATCAGATTCCCAGAAACTATGGATGAAACACAAACAAGAGCTAAGATCGGTGGTTTAAATGATCCAAGATTAGGTTCTATTGATCGTAATGTAAAGTGTCAAACCTGTCAAGAAGGTATGAACGAATGTCCGGGTCATTTTGGTCACATTGATTTAGCTAAACCTGTTTTCCACATTGGTTTCATTTCAAAGATTAAGAAAGTTTGTGAGTGTGTCTGTATGCATTGTGGTAAACTACTTTTGGATGAGCATAACGAACAAATGAACCAAGCTATCAAGATTAAAGATCCAAAGAAGAGATTTAATGCGGTTTGGACTTTATGTAAGACAAAAATGATTTGTGAAACAGATGTTCCTTCTGAAGATGACCCAACAAAACTAGTTTCTAGAGGTGGTTGTGGTAACGCTCAACCTACCATTCGTAAAGATGGTTTGAAATTAGTAGGTAGTTGGAAAAAAGACAAAAACACTAATGATGGAGATGAACCGGAACAAAGAGTTCTAAGCACAGAAGAAATCTTAAATATTTTTAAACATATTTCTTCAGAGGATTATATTAGATTAGGTTTTAATGAAGAATTTGCTCGTCCAGAGTGGATGCTTCTAACAGTTTTACCTGTCCCTCCTCCCCCAGTTCGTCCATCTATTTCCTTTAATGAATCCCAAAGAGGTGAAGATGATTTAACCTTTAAATTAGCAGATATCCTGAAGGCAAATATAAGTTTAGAAACTTTGGAACTTAACGGTGCACCACATCACGCTATCGAGAAACAAAAAGGTTACTTCATTCCATGCCGCAACTACATGGATAACGATATGGCAGGGCACCTTCAAGCATACAAAAATCGGGCCGTCCTGTTAATCTATTCGGGCCCGTTTAAGGGGAAGGAAGCCGTTTCAAGGTATTTAAGGGAAAGCGTGCCATTTTCCTGCAAAACACGTTTTCCAGGGACCCAATTTGAATTGGACAAGCGGGGTTCCAAATATAACTAAAATTTAAACTCCCGAAGTGACACCAATAAATTGAGCGTTACAAGTAGGCGTAAGGGCAAAGAAACTCCGGGCAAAATTTTCTCGGAAACGAACGTTTTGTTGAGATCTAAAAAGGGTGTATCATGGATAGGGGGATAGACGCCCTGGGAAAGCCTTTTTATCCCCCTTTGATATGCTGTGGGCGAGAGAG